TTCATTGCATTTTCATTGTGTTGGGTCTTAGATGCTGGGCTCCTCTTTTCTCACAGCTATCGCCACATTATACAGGCACTCATGCAAGAAATGTTGGATTCCACCTCAGTTTATCAAAATTTTGTGCGTCCTAGATGTTTACATTTCTGTATTCAGAAGCAGGAGTTGATATTTTCCACCTAATCTCACTTTTATTAAGCTATTATTTTTATGGCCTGTTAAAAAGGAATCTGCTCGGGATACTGCTAACTTTTTTTTCCTGGCTGCCTCTGTCTATTAGCATTTCAAAAGTATTTGTATTTAACTAAGCATCTCAAGTCTTAAGAGACTAGGAATTACATCTTTAGTCAGTTTATTAAACATGATGAAAGATTAGCTATCAAAGTTCATATGCAAATTCTTCAGAGATAACTGTGTTGAAAGCTGCATTATTTTTTAAACAGACACACAACTCAGCCCCGGTTCCAAAAACATCTCTCTCCACCAAGGGAAGATAGATCTAAAGCACAAAATCAAGAGTAATTTTTCTTCTCCTGACTATTCCAGCAAAGTTTCCCTATCCACAAAAACAGGGAGCCAAGTATAACATTAATCTGTTTTGGTTTTTTTTAAACTTCCATAGAACTTTCAAGACAACACAGTTTCTAAACCCGCCTGCAAACTCACAATCCTCCAACTACTTTTACATTAAATTGTTTCTGACAGGGACATGCCAAATATTATTATTTTTCACACTACGAACCACCTCTCTCTTTCGCAGAAATATTTCCAGCACCAGTTACAAAGAAAACTCTAACAGTAGTCATGACAATCTATGCTTACACAGAAATAGAAATGCCTCACTTATTTATTTCTCTTCTCCAAGAAGTTGCAGTTTATCACTTAACAGGGCTCCTTAGCAATTACAGTGATTTTTTTAAAATCCACTGTAAGAAAGCTGCCATAAACAGAAATGAATTCCATGTCACCTTCCACAGGGAAATCCTGGATTCCGGCTAATTGTGGGCGCATGAGAGAAATGAGAAGACTTGTTCTTATTTCTGCAAATGAGCAATGCCCCTCAGAAGTAGGAGGTTAAAGCCTGCGACCTGAGCTCACCCACAGCCAAATAACTTGGGATGAGCCATGGGATGTCAGAGCCTCAGTTTCTACTGAGGGAATAACAACAACACCAGCACCACCACCAAAACGAAACAAAAAAAGGAAAACAAACAAATTTAAATAACCCAAAAAATAAAGAAAGAAACAAAAAAAAATTAAAGCAATAAGAGAGACTTCACTCATGAACGGCACAGATATTGTTGGTCATTTAAATTAGTGACTGTAAAACAACCTGAATTCTCCCAAACTGAGACTTCAGAGAAGTGCAAAATAATACAAATTAATCACTCCTTGGCATGGGCTGGCTCATTCCAGAGGAGGGTCCCAGCCCTGTGGTCATGACAATACTATATAAATAAGGATAATAGCCTTAGCAGCTTTTCTTTTCCTCTTCCAAGCTCATCCCTGTCCCAAGATCCGACTGAAACTTTCTGCCCAAATCTTTGCAGACTCAAGAATAGACAAGAAAATCAAGAACACACAAGCAAAGTAATTTCAGGATTTTGAGGCTGGGCTGTAAGTTCCCATTATTTAAACTGGTTTTGCACCACTGCCTTTCTTGCTGGTCAATAGCTTCTAGTGCCAAAAGCATGGTCTGGCTAGTGACTGATTAGAGTCATGGTTGCATGACTGATTTAAAATAAAAGAGGATTCAGGTGCCCTAATGCTGTGCCACTTTAAGGGCAAAAGACCTTCTACAACATGTTTTATCTTAAGCCATGGCATTTGAAATACATTTCCTGACCTTTGTTTTAGTTCTGAAGGTTGTGAAGTACTCTGGTATAAGCAGGGGGGAAAAAAAGAAAGAAAAATAAGTAAAGGAAAGAACAAAAAATTGTGTATTTAAACAATTCCAGAAGCACCAATTGCCTCCTGTGACCATTATAAGGTGCTTCATCCACTTGCGGGATATGCTGGGCTGAAAAGCACAAGCCCCAGCAAGTTCCAGTGTGACTGCCCCATCAAAAGGAGAAGCACATCTGATTAAGGCCTTCAAAGCAGTTATTGACTTGTACTGTGGTGATCATCAAGCCTAAATAAACAAAAAAACTACTGACAAAATTATTTGGTTAATGGCTAGATTGGCTATTTTGCATAGTATATAAATATTACATAAACTTATGCGAATCCATCCAAGAACAGCTGGATTAGTTAACATTAATTAACTAATACAAAATGGGAGAAACCATTACCTTCTGCTTATATTAAAGAATAAAATGCCTTTTTTTTCAGCACCAAGCATAGGAAAGGGAACTAAGAGCTTCTGGCCAAGGAACCAAAAGTTTGGCCATAAGTACATGAATAAAACAAATGTCTTTCTATTACAGGTGATAAAAATTGTACTCAGCATCTTTTGATATATATCTTCTCAAAAGTTTTGTGAGCACAGCCCTCTTGTGGGCTCATTTGTGTTTGTGTAACAACTGGAGATGGGGAACAGCTAATTCCTTTACCTGTTGGACAACCTTCACTCCTCCAGGCTACCAGAGAATTGGCTGCAGGTATAATCA